ACCTCCTCGGGCTAGTGACTTTGTATGAAATGTGCCTAGCCTAGCAGTGAATGGGTACCCGACAGTATAATTTTTAACAATAAGACTGCTTGCTATTGTATTCCACGAGGAGTTACAGATGACTCTGCTAATAATAGCATCGATCACGATCAAGGCGCATTAGAGCAGTGGTAAAACGGAAAGTGCGCCTTAAAATGCATAATATATCATTTGGATGTTTTTTTGCCATTTCATTGATAGCACAACAAACTGCTGATATAGTGGAAGTTGTATATTAACTCGCCACCTTCATGTCTCACTGCAAACTGCAGTCTACGCACTTGACTCCGCCATATCAAATAATCTACAGTCGAGGCAATTCTTCATCAATCAATTTAAAACTGATCCCCAGGAAATTAATCAGTAACAACATTCCAATTTTCTGCCTACAGCTTTAAAAATAAAACTTATTGGAAATACAATGAAGGCCATATTACTCAAGTGGTTATCTCCAATTCTGTCTTGATCGATATCGATCAGAAGACCGGTGCATGATTGACTTCTGCATATGGTTGCTGGTGTTATCTGGCTGTTGCCACTCTTCTCTTGCTACGATAGTCACCAACCCTAGATTAATTTCTTCTTGGTATACGGAGATCGGAAAGGTCTCGACAAAAAACATTTATTAATCGAAAAAATTCCAATTTCAAATATTGGTTCTATTCCCTTCAAAATGTTAAGTAGATGGAGGGAACGTGCTGAAGGAATAGGCAACGAAAAAAACGGATTGGCGACAGTATATCATCTTTTATTATAATTATTGCCGCTCGGCCGAATATATAAAAACTGACTTTAAATGTTATTTTTTATGTTTCATTTTGGGGGATTTGATTTGTTTTGGAGAAGGTGAGACCTTACAGCTTCAGGAATGTTACATCAAGTCTATCTCGTTAAAACCAGATATTTTACTCTAGCTTGAGGTGAACTTTTGGCATTATTTGACCAGCTGATGTAAATGATGTTCGAGCCACAGGCCCTCGTGTCTCAGCGAGGATTAACGGTTTTTAAAAAATATATATATATATTTGAGATGAAACGCTTCACAGTACAATAGTCATAATGCGTTGTACTGTAGAGCATTTCGAGTCGGGGGTCATCTCAAATATATATATATATTTTTTTAAAAACCCGTTAATCCTCGCTAAGACACGAGGGCCTGTGGCTCGAACATCATTTACATCAGCTGGTCAAATAATGCCAAAAGTTCACCTCAAGCTAGAGTAAAATATCTGGTTTTAACGAGATAGACTTGATGTAACATTCCTGAAGCTGTAAGGTCTCACCTTCTCCAAAACAAATCAAATCCCCCAAAATGAAACATAAAAAATAACATTTAATGGAAATAAGCTGCATGCAGAGTTTTTCCAGTCGTCTGACCCGTAGCTCATACTCAAACAGCTTTTTGAACGTCGTTTGACTAGATGTTTGAGCTCCATTTCGTAGAGGTGGATTTTGAGTACATCAGTCCTGTTCTCTTGTGGTTGACCAGTGACGCCGTGAGCGTGGTCTGTTGTCAACAATTTGGGTTGTTGGTTCGGTGTTATTAACACTAACTTACGACTATCTTAGCGCTAAGTGAGCTTCGAAAATCTAGGCCCTGTTTATAGACTGAAACCTCGAAGGTATGGCCACTGGACGAAGAGTACTGCCATTAAAGACATGTCAATAACCCGTTGCAGACACGGTATCGCTAGTTCAACCACAACGATGAAGGAAATCAAGTTGACCACAACTGTGAGATAAATGCTCGTCATGCACGTTGTATGCTCCCCAGGGAGTTGAGATTGACAATACGATGTGCCGTTGAGATTAACATCCAGTGAACGAGGGAAAAACAAAGCGCCTTTGAGCTGAGCTGGATATCGGCGCTATACAAATGTTAGTATGTATGTATGTAAATGGAATCAATAAAATTGAAAGAAACATTGGAACACAGAGATAAATCGACCTTCTTTGAGAATGTCAAACTCCGGAAATACACACGTAAGTGGCGCCAGACCTGAAGACCGTTTTTTACAGATCTAAATATTATTAAAGAATGAATATTTTTAAGAAGGACAATTTTTACGGATATACAGCTTCTTTATTCTGTATATGCTGTCGTTGTCAAGCAAGTGACATTAGATTCAATGTCGAAACGTGGCCTATACAGAATATAGAAGTTGTATATAATAAAACTTGTCCTCATTCTTCATCTTCTCAACTTCTAGAATGCCAATGGAAGAAGACTAAATATTTTTGCATAAGATGTTTCTCATCAACACTATCATTGTCCTGATGCTTGGTGTAAACATTTATACTACATGTTCCCCAACTTATTTGTAACAGTATAAATGTCACGAACTGGTAGAAGAGAGTAATTAGTAAATTGATATTGACACTAGGGAGCTGGACTTGCAAAGTCTGCAGGAAACTCTCACAGTACACAGTACATGACAAGCACTTATCCACAGGATCTGATCCATTCCAACATCTATAGACAAATTACAGCTCAACAATGCCGCGTGTGCCTTCAACCGGTTGACCGGCCTCAGCATCAATATCCAATGTTGGATCCAGGGCTGGTATAATTCAATAATACCGATATCAGAGCTGGCATTTATCACCCTGATGAGCGAAAGAGACGGCAGTCGCACTTACCCCAACTGACAAATGGTAATGCAGATATTATATTGATCTCATAAACTAATGAAATCTGCCCGCGGAATCTACAAGCTGAGAGGTCGCGTCATTGACATTTGAAAGGCCATGATTTAGACATGAATACGGGAGATTTAGACAATTAGTAGAATGTGGCATTTTATTTACATAATGAAACTTGTATGTTAATATTATGCATGTTTTAGTTTTAGTTTCTCTTTTAATTATACCCGTGAAGATCAGGGTTAGAATATTGATCTTCAGTAACCCATACTTGTCGGGATCGGGTGGTCAGGCTCGCTGACTTGGTTGACACGTGTCATCGTATCTCAGTTGCACAGATCGATGCTAATGCTGTTGATCACTGGATTGTCTGGTCCAGACTCGATTATTTACAGACCGCCGCCATATAGCTGGAAAATTGCTGAGTGTGGCGTAAAACTCAACTCACTCACTCCTTTTTCATTATATATTGTTGGATATTAGTTTTAGTTTTGTTAAAGGCGATAGATTGTGGTTAGGTTTGTTTGCTTGTATGGGTTTGGGGATTGTCTAAATATCATTGCGGGTTTGAGTCATTGTTTATATTTACATATACTCATGCCAATAATGGTTGTCACCCCCTTCAATTTTTTTAATTAGAGAGGGGATGTGAGGTGTGTGTGGGGGTTGTGGTGGGGAGGGGGGTGACAACCATTATTGGCATGAGTATATTTGGCTTAATTTTCTATTGGTTCAGATCTCATTTCAGTTCCAGAGATCATATGATTTCTCCTCCAAACTACATAATGAACACTAATATTTTCCCACACACTGCCAGCCCCACAGATTATCTAACCTTTAACCTTTGGCCTTTCCCCCATAACAGAGATAGCGACAATATATGTTGACCGGTTTGATCTGGCGCCGGAAACGATTAATTATATCACGTGATCATGAGTGAATATCTATATTAATTCTTGATGATGACAGAGTTAAATACTGCTTGTCAGTGTCGCTATTTGTTGAGCTATTTATAGTAGTGTTTCGGCAGGTACGGACAAGAGAGTGAGTGAGTGAGCTGGGTTATGCGCCGCTTTAGCAATATTCCAGCAATATCACGGCGGGGGACACCAGAAATGGGTTTTACACACTGGATTCATGTTGGGATACAGGTCCCAGAGCTACTCCACCGCTTCTCCTGACAAGAGATGTATGACTATTGAAATTGTATTAATGATGATATTTTCATATGTTCAATGTATACAAATCAACTCGTATGCGCTGTAAAGCGAAGCTTTACTCGTTTGGTTGTTTTTTTCAAATAGAACCACGAATAGATTCCCTGAATTAGGAATGTCAAGTCAACGTGGTAGGTGTTGTCAACAGATCAATTCCAAATTTCATTATTTACCACCTCTATTACTTGTGGATATAGCGTCTTTCAGATGGCGGGAAGTGGACCGTTCGATTAAAAGAAAAACACGTGAAGACTTGTCTCACGATAGCTTGCCTACCTGCCTATCTGTCGATCGGTATTAGGGGACAAAAACATCGAGTGGTCTAGGATGACTACGGAGCAGGAATGGGGAACAGACAAGGATCCAGGGATCCAATACTCCTAAGTAGAATGAAGAGAGAGCCAAACAATTCCATACGAAATGAGAAAATAGAAAATGTTGCCATCCTCAAAGATGTATTGTTTGAGCATGCAAATCTTACTTCATAATAACTCATCACATTTATAATCTTGATTAGATCTTTAAAGCCGAATGACAGGGGAATTGAATTTACATAATGTTAAAGAACAGACAAGAACAAACCGTGTATCATTTCAACATCTCTATAAATACCAACGTTCTTCACCAATTAAATCAGAAAAATAAATATAAAAGGTCACACTGGTGATAACTGGTCCATTTCACACTGCCTCCACTTACCAACTTCCGATTCTGCCCTGACATTTCCAGGACGTATTGTCAAGTTGGAGATCAGCTCACGCACAGGGTGAGATCGAGCATGCATATGGAATTGTCCGACAACACCCATTGATATTTACGGCCATAAGTATATTATTGGAGTGAAAACGAGTGAGTATGGTTTTACGTTGCTTGTATCAATATTCTTGCAATATCACGTAGGGGTGAATACTTGTCACGTATTGTACCCATGTGGTGAAACTATCCCGGGTATTCGGCGTGCGGAACGAACGTTTTAACCACTAATCTTAGGAACCAAAGACTGAAAAGAAGATGCGTGGATACGTGCGCTATATAAATATCCTATAATAATAAAAATATCTAAGTATGTCCATTTTTTGACCCAACACACAGGTACAACATAGGTCGCTGTCACAGCGATGACGTTGGGGAGGTCAGTTTGCGCCTGCATCGTTATGACGTTTGTTCTGACAGTTCAAGGTCAGTTCGACAGTTCAGCGTTCGATTGGGATTTTGAATCAGAATGCCAAAAGATCTGTTCCGATACTCTTAAAAGAGATGGATGTTGTCCCGAGACCTTATGCGAAAGTAACCAGTTAAGTAACTTAGTACTGAACGCAGGCTCCTCACTCAGGTTTGAAATGATCCATTCATGCCCGGATGAAGCTCAAGCTGAACTTAAAAGCCTCTGTGTTGACAGAACCCGATATGACGTCACTTCCGATCTGGAGTCACTCATGCCAGTGACGTCAGACGGCGTGACATTCTTCAACAAGTACTGTGCAGCCTGCTATAATGTTTCTTCTTACTACAAGTGGTCAGTAAATATCAGCTGTAATGCCCATGTAAATCTCCATACCTTACGGACCCAGCAAGAGATCGTCAACATGGCGATATCATCCGGGTACTGTCAGGTCATGCTTCAAAAACCTGCCGCTCTACGCCTTATTACATGCATGAGTACCTCAATCTTTGAAGGTGATGATGATATACTTATCAACAGACAGGTTCCAATTAAATCATTTATCGGAGCAGGGAGAAATCAAAATCCTTCATTCCACGTTGAAACAGATACGCCATTTTCAATCATACTAAGTTTCAGTGACGAAAATGATGATGAGTATGAACTCCCATATGATGAGAAGGGAGATAACTCCACATGCTCCGAAAACCAGTGGACATATAATTTTACGGTAAGATTTTGATTATATTCAAGTTAAGTCAAGTATGTTTATTCATGTTTTTAGGCCGTTGGCCGTTATACATGTACATTTCAATACATTATTAATACATATATATACTCAGTATAATATTTACAATAGTTAAACGTTCTTTTAAGGCTATGAAACATATATTTACATACTTTGAGCATTAGTGTGTCATTGTCCGTCACCATAAGGAACTTAAACTTGAAGATATTTGGATTGTTCCAAAAATACAATGGAAAATATAATTTTCTTAAGTCATTATAATGTTCATACACAAGCAGACAATGATATTCATTTTTCACGTCTAATTCACAAAGTGGACATATTCTCAGAAAATAACCAACATTCAACCATCTGTCTCCATTTACTTTCAACCTTAATAAGCCATATCTTAATCTTGCTACAAATTACGATATTTTTTTACAGTGATGACAGCTAAGTATTTTCTGGAGGTCAAACACTTTTGTACTCCTTGCACAATCTATATCTTGTGCTATTTTGTAAAACACTATTCTAAGATTGATAAAACATATTTATAGCAACGTCTTTAAAGCTTCGAAGAAATATCAACTCATTGCCAACCGATTGGCTTATCCATACAAAACCAAACGCATGATTAAACAACGGCATACGTATTGATGAAGCATAGCTTGAATATGAATAATTATCTAAATTAACCAACATGTCATATGCTTTCTTAGGTACTCTATTATTGGGCATTTCAATTAACTTAATATTTAACAGCCCGACATAAGGCATTGATATATAATGGATATCGGCCACATTCGCCGTAAGTTATAGCATTTGCCGTTTGTCGACCAACATTTAGAAATCTTTTACATGCGATAATATGTACATTTTCGATTTTCTCAAATCTGTTAAGTCTCAACACCTCAGAGCCGTCTAATGAAATAGGCTGAACCTGTGAATCAAAGAGTTTTAAAAATACAGTAGGGTCAACAGTATTTAATTTATTCATAGTTATGAAGAATTTCCGCCAGTACGCGTTTACCTCGGGGAGCTAGATCAGATGCTCATGTTATAGGTAGTAGAAAAGGTAATACCAAGATATCTGTATGTAAACTCTGTCAAAAAAGAAACGCAACCCCTGTATTTTAGAGATTTTGATCTGAAGTTTTAGGACGACACGGCATTTTTATTATTTAAGATAGAAGTCTGAAATTTGGCAGAATAATAACCCAGATGGGCATGTTTAAAATTGTCATTTCAAAAGTCATCTCACAGACACCAGTTTGTCACCAGGGGGGCGTCTTTCTCAGTATCTCGTATGAGCACCACGCGCTGCAATCACTGCACGGCATCTCCTTGGACAAGAACGGATAAGACGCCGGATGCTTTCCTGGGGAATGGCTCTCCACTCCTCCTGCAGTGCAACGGCGAGCTGTTGCAGCGTCTGTGGCGGCGGCTGACGTTGACGTACGCGTCGATCCAGAGTATCCCACAGGTGTTCAATAGGGTTGAGGTCTGGTGATTTAGAGGGTCATGGCAAGACATTGACGTTGGAATTCTGCAGAAAGTTCATTGTTGCACGTGCAGTATGAGGCCGGGCGTTGTCCCGTTGAAAAATCTGTGTCTGTTGGTCAATAATCGGGAGAAGGTGAAGCTCTAACACGTGGTTGATGTAACGTTGGGCTGTCAGGTTCCCTGGAACGATCACCAAGTCTGATTTCTGGTTGTATGAGATGGTTCCCCAAACCATGACGCTTTCTCCGCCAAATCTGTCCACCTGTCGGACGCAGATGGGCGCAAAACGTTTATGACGTCTCCTATACAGACGCTGTCTTCCGTCGTGACGTTGCAAAAGAAAACGTGATTCATCAGAAAACCAGATTCGCCTCCAGTTTTGTAAAGTCCGTATCCTTACGTTGTTGCACCACCTGAGTCGTCGGCGTCGATGTAGGGGGCGTAGTACAGGTCCAACAACTGGTCTACAGGCACGTAAACCCGCTTCTTTCAGACGGTTCCTAATCGTTTGAGCTGACACTCTCCTCAAACTTGGTATTTGTGTGGCAGTCACGGTTGGTAGGGCATGCCGATTACGCAGGTGATGGACCCGGATGTACCGATCTTGAAGGGGGGGTCGTGATTCTTGGCCTTCCACTTCTCGGGCGATCGTTGGTCAAATTGAAGTTGTTGTAGCGGCTCCAAAGTCGGGATATCGTTGTTTTGTGAACATTTAGGTGCCGTGCAACAGTTCCAAAACTTTCTCCGGCTTGAACACGACCAATGGCGATATTTCGGTCGGCAGCACTCAATCGTGGCATTTTTAACACAGCTTTTCGGCGACAAATGAATGAATATAATACGGAAGCACATGGGCTTTTATACACCCCTACATTAACTGCCATTTTCATGATTTGCATGTGTTTTTTTTGTGCGAAGTCACCATGAGGGTCATTTCATGCGTTGTGACGGAATAAGCAATAAAATACACTTATGCGTACAAATGCAGTTGTTTGGATGGCAATCTTCATTAATTACGTGTATCATTTCAATACATTCGAATAAAATTTAGTTTGGAAGCAATAACTTCATTCAAACGAATTTTTCATATCTGAGGACAGGGGTTGCGTTTCTTTTTTGACAGAGTTTATTAATGTATTAGTTGTAATTATTTCATTTTTATTGAAACATTTTTCACATTTTGCCAAAGGCCCGCCCCTTCTAAACTCAAGAGCCGTAGTTTTATCCAGGTTGACACTGACTTAATCCCCAAGTGTCATCGAAAATGTCTCATACATTCAGTTGTCCCTGTAAACCAGAGATAGCATCAGATACTAAATATGACATCCTCAGCAAACATCAGTAATAATATTTCAAGCATATAAGGAAACAACTGAACACCATATGTTCCATTCTAAACAATATCATTTGACTTTTTTGTTGATAAAAAAGGAAGAAAGGATTGGACTTAATATAGTACCTTGTTTCAAACCAACAGGATAATCGAAATAGTTTGTGCAACGGTTCTTGCTAAATCTTACACATGCTTTAACTGATTTATATATTCCTCGAAGGGCTGCCAACATTTTACAACAGAAGCCTGTATTTCTTAGACATGATCACAATTTAACACAATCAGCAGAATTAAATGCTCTTTTTTTAAATAAGCAAATGCGACATATAATTTCTTTCTTTTTTGGGGATAAGCACTTCTGTATAATTGCATCAAGAGTACACACAGTAAGGAGACACCTCTGTAGTTTATGTTTCCTTGTTTATGGAGAGGAATGATAGTGGATATTGTACAATCTTCAGGAAACGATCCAGTATTGGAGCATATTAATCAATTGAACTAAAAAAGGTACATTATATTTCTCACATTTCACATGTAATAGCATCATTACCCGGCGATTTACCATTCTCAAATGGTTAAGAACTGAAGGCATTTCTTTATCATTGATGGGTGATTCCAACAAGACATTATCAATGTCATCTAAAACAATATCATCTACAAACAGTAATAACAACGTCATTGATTTGGGTACAATGATGGATGATGTATTAACGGACTTACGGAAAACGTAACTGTGCTTCATATACAGTTCAAAGCCTGAGATGGCTCGACGCGTACGACAGGATGTGAATCAACCATTAAGGCTAGCTCATTCTGGTCAACCTTTTGTTGACATTTGCAAAAAATCTCTCAGTCTTTTCCCAGTCGTCTTTTGTCGTCAAAGAGCCGGGACGTTCCCGCTTGGAATTCAATGTAAATTGTGGTCACACCTGATATTTATATTGTTAATGGAGTTGTTACATTACCCTCTCTATAGGGCGTGTCCCTCCGTTTCCTGTCTCCAGACAAATAACCAAAATACTATGTTATTATCAATAATAAAACATTTACACCACTTTACGAGAAGCACTGTTACTTTACCCCATAAGTATTAAGTAGAATGGTGATAAGATGTCAATTCTCAATGCACCCAATAGTGAAGACCTCCAACGTGAGATTACTGACATGATAAAACATACAGAACTTGTTCTATGGTGGTAATATTTAAACCAAAGTCTAGATAGGTAAACACATTTAAGCCAACATTCTACCGCATTCTTACACTTACTAATATAATTGTTGTTTTTTTCATTTGTGGTTTTCTCGTTTTCCAGGATTTGTGTTTCGATGTCCACTGTTTCCAAGGGAAGACCATGGTTGGCAGTTCATGCAAGTCTCTTATTGCAGAAGGGAAAGGCTTATTATACCGCTACTCAATCAAACTGGAATCCAAATACAACCAACAACATGGCCATTGTGAAATGGATGAGAGGTTAAAAAGACATGTTTATGAAATAGCTGAACGTTTACAAACAGAATATTTCAGATGTGAAATTTTCCCCAGTTTCACAACAGACGGTTCTGAAAATTATTTGAAGGCTGTGTTGATGTACCAGATCACATTGACCAAACCCATGGATAGAGATGTGTTTGAGGAACGAGCGCTTAATCTGACAAAGGAACCTTGGAATATGACCTGTGGGGACTCCGTAATGCAGTTCAAGGTCAATCTTGTTTCTTCTTCGTCGCCCGAAGCTACTCGAGCATTGGTTAAATCCGATCCTGGAGACAAATTACCCGTGTCCCATCAGACCTTCACTATAAACAATCCCGAATACGAATCATACATAACGGAAGAGAATTCTTACATAAATATTTCCCCTGTCATGGTTTGTCAGTTTGTGAAATTTAACTCAAGCCAATACACACTTAACCCGACTGGAGATATCCGCCTCACTGACGGAAACGTGTCCCTTCAACCTCACGACTTCGACCTCGCCGACGGGGATGCACGTGTGTGTGTTGATGTTCTGACTAGCAGATACGACGCTTTGACAATACCTAAGCGGGTCAATATCCACGGAGTTGTTCGGCAGTATTTATCCTATGTGTGCGTGATTCTGTCTTTGGTAGGACTTGCTACCACTTTCACTGTATACATGGTGTTCCCGTCCCTCAGAACCCTCCCTGCGAAGAACAACATCTGTCTGGTGGTTAATCTGTTCCTTGCACAGTCTCTCCTGCAGTTCGGTGTCAGGAGGACAGAGAATCCTACATCCTGTGCAATCCTGGGGATCCTCATCCACTTCTTCTGGTTGGCGTCTCTCTTGTCTATGAACGTGTGTTGTTTTCACATGTACAGAGTGTTCAGCAGCAGGACGTTAGCCGCTATGCCAAGACACTCCTCTTTGAGACGACTTGTGAAATACATTGCCTACCCGTACACAGTTGCCACTATCATAGTAACTTCCACCATAACGTCACAATACATCACCAGCAATGGCAGCAGCATCGGATACGGTGGAAGACACTGCTACCTGTCTTCACCGTTACTAATAGGTTTAGCCTTTGCCCTGCCTCTAGGAGTCATCCTGCTTCTGAACGGAATCATGTTCTGTAGGGCTGTTCGTTCCATAGCACAGACCAGCCTCATTCAGAGAGAGGCTATGGCAAAGGGTAGACACAACCTGCATGTGTACATCAAACTTTCAACGCTGACAGGACTATTCTGGATTGTGGGGATCCTAGCGGAGGTGTTTCCCCTAGAGGTTCTCGCTTACCTCTCCATCATTCTGAACGGTAGTCAGGGCGTCTTCATCTGCATTGCCTGCGTCTTTAACAAGAGAGTCCTCCACCTAGTTGGCTGTACAGGGAAACTGCCGGGTCAGACCACTAGCTCGGACAAACCGAAAACACGAACCAAGAGTACATCGGCGAATGACTTAAAATGAATGAAGAAAAGTGTATTCTAAACAAGAATATGTTTTAAATGTATTCCCTTTCTAGAATGGTTGGCAGATATAGACAATTGCACAAAGAAAGCAGGCATGAACAGAAGATCCGACTCTGGGAGTCTCTGACAACTGAACGTTACTGATTTTACAAAGTCATGCTATACATAATTACACATTGTAATATGATAAGCTGCACGTGAAAACGTCGTTTGTATAGGAATTTGCAATTCACAAATGCTGAGTCTCTGATTGTGTTTTCTGTGTTAACTATTTAATTAGCAGTGTATGTAGAATATGTACTATCCGTGAACCAAAACATGGCATTACAGTATTATCCAATCATCATTATCATGATCTGAGTAAGTGAGTGAGTGAGTGAGTGAGTGATTAAATTAAGCTTAACGTCGATCTTACAATAATGTTATATTACGGCATGATAGCTCAGTGTAGGAGAGAACTCTCGGTGATGCATGCCTGGGACGTGTCATTCTTTGAACATTACCTGTAAACATAGTCTGGGCGAGCAAGGGTTCAAACCTCAAATCAAAGGTTTCCGGATTGTCCAAGGGACGTAACTCTGTACCGCTAATTGCGGCGCCCTTGACGACATGGACACTACTGTCCCCCAACTGTTCTCATAGCACGTGTTCTTGAGAAGACACGGGCCACTAAATCATATAGCACGTGTTTAGAAAGAGGCACATATACGCAACATGGATAACACGTGTCATCGGCTAGACACATAGCTCGCATTGTCGACGTGACACGTTGAACATACACACCATGTGTTCTCCAGGAGGTACATATATACAACATGAATAACACGTGTCATCGGCTAGACACATAGCTCGCCTTCTCGACGTGACACGTAGAACATACACACCATGTGCTCTCGAGGAGGCACATATATACAACATACAACAACAACAACACACACACACACACTTCATGAATTATGAACCTTGCTCATTGTATATTCAGTGTATTATAGCTGGTTCAAAGCTGGCGACTTTGTGTATCGGATGGTCAGGCCAAGTGGCTTGATTACGTGTCATCGAATGCCCACAGCGTTTACCAATGCTCCTAAAACCAACCACGGGATTGTGCGGTACAGAATCATGTATAAAGCCGAGAATTTATAGATGTCAACTTCTATATTTTGACAACTTGCAAACAACCCACTTATATGAAACCAGGCATCGCAGTGAAGAGCGCCCTACGCTCCACCCAATCACCAGAGGAGCACCCTACTCTCCACCCACCCAGAGGAGCACACTACACTCCACCCAAGCACCCGAGGAGTACCCAACACTCCAGCCAAGCACCAGAGGAGCACCCTACACTCCACCCAAGCACCCGAGGAACACCCAACACTCCAGCCAAGCACCCAAGGAGTACCCTACACTCCACCCAAGCACCCGAGGAGTACCTTACTCTCCGCCCAAGCACCCGAGGAGTACCCAACACTCCACCCAATCACCAACACTAATCACTGAACGTATTGTTTTGCCAAGTCTCAAGGAATGTCTGAAATTTGCAAACTGAATATTAAATCAATAATTTCCTTGGTATAATCAGACATTCTACTGAACCGGCGTTTTCTTCCTGGGACATCATGTAGTTAGACTAACAACCAGTCTCTGAAATGAACATATTTTACAGAAAAATTAAGGCTCATGGTGAAAAAAATTAAAAATATGTATATATACTCTCCCAAAAAGAAACGCATATAGGAATTTCAACTGTATTTTTATGCTTATTTTGAAATATCTTGTAGGCTTTATGAGTAAATGAAATATAGCGAAATTGCACACTGGGAATGTGGACTTATCCGTCTTTGGCACCAACTCGAGGAAAGTCAGTTTGAGTGTCGCATGGAGACGTGTGGTGGCGCTGAAGTCAATACCTCTTGTGACCACCGTGGGCATCCAGAACTGCACGGCATCGCCTCGGTATCGAACGAATAAGTCTCAGAATCTCGTGTTGCCCAATCGCAGCCCACTCTGCATGTAGTGCCTGTGCGAGTTGCTGAAGTGTCTGGGGCTGAGGGTTACGGCGTCGCACCCGTCTGTCCGGGGCATCCCACAGATGTTCGATCAGGTTTAAGTCCGGTGATCTTGAGGGCCAGGAGAGCACATTGATGTTATGGTTCTGGAGGAAGTCTCTAGTGTGACGTGCTGTGTGGGGCCTGGCAATGTCCTGTTGAAACAACTCCCTCTGGCGATCAATGATTGGAAGGAGGTGTTGGCGTAGGATTTCGTCACAGTACCGTTGAGCTGTCAGGTTGCCCTGGATCATCACCAAATCACTTTTTCTTACGGCCGGTGATCGCTCCCAACATCATAACACTCCCCGGCCGAATCTGTCCACCTGGGGAACGCAAGCGTCGGCGAAACGTTCACGTCGACGTCTGTACACCCGCATTCTTCCATTGCGTCGTTCCAATAGAAATCGTGATTCATCACTGAACCAGATTCTACGCCAATTCGGTAGGTTCCAGGCCTGAATGTTGGTGAACCATTGAACTCGATGTCGACGATGTTGTTGTCGAAGCACAGGGCCAAAATAAGGTCTTCTGGCACGTAAACCAGCCTCTCTCAACCTGTTCCTGACGGTCTGTGCAGAAAGCCTCCTCAATCCGGGTATTTTTCGAGCGGTACTGGTCGCCGTAGCTGTTCGATGACGCAGGTGATGTACCCGGATGTAGCGATCCTGCGCCGCAGTGGTCTCTCGAGGTCGCCCACTACGAGGGGCTTCTGCTACCGCATTCTGCCGGCGATATCTCTCCCAGAGCCGTCAAATGGTGCTTTGGTGAACATTCATGCGTCGGGCAACTGCACTTGAGACTGGCCAGCTGCAAGCAAACCAATGGCGATATGACGGTTGGCTTCACTTAGACGTGACATTTTTCGTTCGTCAACAATATTCCAAATACAGTGAATAATCGACAGACAGCGATTGAGACTATCTGATCCCCAACTTTCACGTGCATTGCCTGTGAATTGTGTATTCATTGACACTACACGCCGAAATTGAAAATCATGCTGTTAAATACGGGTAATTTACGGATTGTGGGTTTTGTTGTCATGTTTCAAAACATAAACATCATAGGACTCATAAACAGAGCAAAACCTTTTGTAAAATGAATCACGTTTTAATTTATTGCTACATGAAATTGCTATTTTCATGATGCGTTTCTTTTTTGGGAGAGTATATATATAATTTAAAAGGAGCCCTGAGACATTTTCTTTTCTTGGATATATTTGCTTCAGGGTCTGTACAACACACTATCATTTAGTCTGAGAACCGTCTTGTACGTTATTCGAATACATTCCTAATCATCTCTGGTTTGACATTATATTTGCCAGCAACCCTGTCGACCGATGAAGATCCGGGTTAGAGTTTGTTTTCAGCAAACCCACGTTTGTGAGAGGTGACTAACGGGATAGGGTGGTCTGACAGCGTTGATTCGTGGATCTTTTCCCAGTTCCGTATGTCGATGCTAATGATCTCAATCACTGGACTGTCTGGTCAAGACTCGATTATTCCGATTATTCACAAGTCCCGTTATACTTCTCGAAATTGCTGAGAGAGGCGTTAGACAACTGACAAAATGTGTTCGTGTTGAAGCGTACGTAATATATCACTTCAGCCACAGATATTTGTATCGCAAGGTCGGGTGTTTTTTCATTCCACGAAACATAAAATCACCTAATTAGGACTCCTTGCCTAAGAGAAAGGGCAGGAGACCTATTGTAATCGCTGGGATTATTATAGTTATTCCGCCTCATTTCGTTCCAAACATAACTCTTAAACCAGTGTTCAGAATCGCGTCAAAAATCACCAAGGTGCCCAGTGTGCTGAAGTTGTTCCTACAAATATTTCAAGGCACTTGCTAACAGCAAAGGGCAGATACTTCAAAATTAATTTAAAATATTCAATAATCTCCGAAACTACATGTGCAATGACTACAAAATTTCTTATGCAGGTGCGGAATCCGATATCATTAAATTTCAAGTGCAGGATCCATATGTCTAAAAGACTGATGAAAATATGTCTGTCACCCTCTACCAAACACTTGGGAATCCAACTGAACAAAAATCTCAAACCTACTGATGCTGTACATAGATCATGTCGGAACGCAAAGTGATGCTTTCACGCACTGATGGGCATTGGTCGTAAACCGAAAGGTGTCAGTCCGCTTAGGGACCGTTCATAATTTAAATAATAAATAAATGCCCCACCCTTCCGATAAATTTTAAGCACAAATTTATTTTTCTTTCAAAGAACAAAATTGTTGACCCACCCCGCACCCTAGTACATGTGTACAAAACTGCTGACCCCCTAACACCTCCACACCACCACCCACCACCCCCACACACACCATCTCCCCAGGACAAAATGTGTGAACCCCCATAAAATCATCACATACGCACACGCGCGCACGCACGCACTCACACACATACAACCGCACATCACCACCACCACACACCCACCCACTCCTCTAGCCATAAATTATTAATGGTCCCTTATTTCAGCATGTACAGTTCACAAAACAATATTACCTTGGATGCTCTATGTTGCGAACTTTGGACACAGCTTACAGAGTTAGGCAAGACATGAGTGAGAGTTATCCTCAACACGACATTATATGGCAAAATCGTTACACGGATTACATAGACTTTGCTCCCTCCCGCCTGGAAACATCACCAGACTGACTGACTGACTGAGTTTGGTTTTACGCCGCTTTTAGCAATATTCCAGCAACATCACGGCGGGGGACACCAGAAATGGGCTTCACACATTGTGCCCATGTGGACATCACCAGAGAAGACTACAGAAGCCAATATTTGCAGAACCCAAGCCGACAGCAAAAAGGATTCATACCTCATATACAAAATGTGATCCAGAGGTACAACATGTACAATGTGTTCAGTGGCTATATTGTGAACAACTTAAGCTTCTTGAAAAAGACTGCTGAATGAAACTGTCAGAACAAATTATATTTCGGAATGGACGACACGTGTGAGCTGTGACAGAGTTCTCACGGTTTTAGCACTACAGATGAGTGTGTGTTTTTTTGTAGCAATATTCCAGCAATATCACGGCGTGGGCCACCACAAATGGGCTTCATACATTGTACCCATGTGAGTAATCGACCCGGGAATTCGGCGTGGAGAGCGAACGCTTTAACCACTAGGCTACCCCACCGCCCCCAACTACAGATGAAGAGACATTACTCCAGTGTATACT